AACACTAATTTAGGGGAAATGCAAAGGACAGAGGAATGCATTAAAGGACAAAATCAGATGGTGATAGTCTATGGGTCAAAGGATCTGGTTTCTTCAACAAAATTGCAAGAAAAGAGATACATCAAAAAGAGATTTAAAAGACGTATTAGGCCGGGCGCGGTGGCTCACGCCTGTAATCCTAGCACTCTGGGAGGCCGAGGCGGGCGGATTGCTCAAGGTCAGGAGTTTGAAACTAGCCTGAACAAGAGCAAGACCCCGTCTCTACTATAAATAGAAAGAAATTAATTGGCCAACTAATATATATAGAGAAAACTAGCCGGGCATGGTGGCGCATGCCTGTAGTCCCAGCTACTCGGGAGGCTGAGGCAGGAGGATTGCTTGAGCCCAGGAGTTTGAAGTTGCTGTGAGCTAGGCGGACGCCACGGCACTCACTCTAGCCTAGGCAACAAAGCGAGACTCTGTCTTAAAAAAAAAAAAAAAAAGACATATTAACCATCTGTAATGTTTGGATCCTGATTCAAACAAACTGTATAAAAATGTGTGAGATAAAAGAACAAATGTGAACCCTGCTAGATAACTGATATTAAGGAATTCTTTTTTATGTGTGTGATGACGGTGTTGGAGTTGAGTAACAAGAGGAAATTTTTATCATTTAAAGATATATACTAAAATATCCATGAAATATTATCTGATTTGTTTCACAACAGGGGGTAGTAGGTGGGAGTACAGAGGAAATGAGCTCAATTGTGAGTTGATAATTGTTGACATTGCATGATGGGTACATTTAGAAGATATAACTAGGAAATAGCTTCTTAGAAGGCCAAAGCCTCCTTTATATTTTTCTTTAATATATATGTGTTGAAAAAGAAAAAGCTAAAATAAAAAATTAAATCTCTTTTCCACCGCCTACTCCCAGGCTCCCAGGCTCTTTTCCCAGAGGCAAACTCTCTTACCATTTTTTTGTTTATCTTTTCAGAGTTAGATATTCCTTGACTTTTGACAGTTATATACCAAATTTTTTCCTTCTCACTTTTTTATCTCCTTCTCCTATTGAAATTTAGAACTTGCCCCAAACCACAAAGTATTAGTTATTACAAAAAGGAAAAAATAACTACAGTAGATATTCTAAATAGTAGTATATCTGCTTTCATAACTAGGAAATCTTACAAACCATGGTTTTGTTTTCCATTTATTCAATCTATATTAATTGTTCAATGGATTCTTAATATTGGGATTTTTTTAAAGTAGAATTTTAAAAACCACCTCTCTCTCTCTCTATATATATATATATGTATGTATATATATATATTTTTTGAGACAGAGTCTCACTTTGTTGCCCAGGCTAGAGTGAGTGCCATGGCATCAGCCTAGCTCACAGCAACCTCAAACTCCTGGGCTCAAGTGATCCTATTGCCTCAGCCTCCCGAGTAGCTGGGACTACAGGCATGCACCACCATGCTTGGCTGATTTTTTCTATATATATTAGTTGGCCAATTAATTTCTTTCTATTTATAGTAGAGACGAAGTCTCGCTCTTCCTCAGGCTGGTTTCGAACGCCTGACCTCAAGTGATGCGCCCGCCTCGGCCTCCCAGAGTGCTAGGATTACAGGCGTGAGCCACTGCAAAAACCACCTATATATTGTGAGCTTATTTTTTCCTCTGTAAAAACAAACCAAAAAATTCCTGTAAAAGTTATTCTTATAACTTTTCTTTTCTTTTTTTCTTTTGAGACAGTTGTGCTCTGTTGCCCAGCCCAGAGTGCAGTGCAGGCATTGTCATAGCTCACTGTAACCTCAGAGTCCTGGATTTGAGTGATCCTCCTGCCTCGGCCTCCAGAGTAGCTGGGACTACAGGTGCATGCCACGACACCTGGCTAATTTTTCTATTTTTAGTAGAGACGGGTCTCACTCTCACTCAGGCTGGTCCAGAACTCCTGAGCTCAAGCAATCCTCCTGCCTCGGCCTCCCAGAGTGCTAGGATTATAGGCATGAGCCACCATGGCTATTTTTTTTCATTTTTTATAAAGACAGAGTCTCACTATTGCCCAGGCTGGTCTTTTCTAAAGAGCAATACATATGTACCTTTTGATGTCCTTTGAGTCAAAAAAGAAAGAAGTGAAAAAGAAATAATTTATTTAAGAAAAGAAATTAAAGGCCGGGCGTGGTGGCTCATGCCTGTAATCCTAGCACTTTGAGAGGCCGAGGTGGGCGGATTGCTCAAGGTCAGGAGTTCGAAACCAGCCTGAGTGAGACCCCATCTCTACCAAAAATAGAAAGAAATTAATTGGCCAACTAATATATATACAAAAAATCAGCCGGGCATGGTGGCGCATGCCTGTAGTCCCAGCTACTCGGGAGGCTGAGGCAGGAGGATCGCTTGAGCCCAGGAGATTGAGGTTGCTGTGAGCGAGGCTGACGCCATGGCACTCACTCTAGCCTGGGCAACAAAGTGAGACTCTGTCTCAAAAAAAAAAAAAAAAAAAAGAAAAGAAATAAAAAAAAAATAGAACAATACAGATAAGTTAGCTAATCACAGGCCATATCAGGACAACATATAAGTGACAAGAAATGAGAAAGCCTAGAGCATTTAGGACAAAGTAATAACTTTTAGACAATACTATAGTCTAATTCTTATCAAATAAATTGACAAAAACTTCATTTCACAAGAACATGCTTCCCTCTAAAACAACTACTAAACATATATGTAGCATATGATGGTTGAGAGGGCACACATTTTTTTTAAAGCAATAAGGCTGTTTTTATGAAGTTAATGATTTTTATTGCCTTGGTCCAAAATCTTTGCTACTCTCAAATTATTAGAATTAACTTGAGAAATATTGTCCAAGAGAAAAATGTCTGATATCTTTAAAGACATGTTAATTTTATTGTGTAGACTAAATGGAGTAAAAGAGTAACTTCTAAAATTTTCTATTATATTAATATATACATATGGCTGTGTGTATAACTTAATCCTCCAATAAATACCCAGGCCATTTCTTGTACAGAAATAGGTAACTATGAAGTCACTAGGGAACCAGTAATGTTATATAAGGAAAAAAGACATAACCTTCTTCTTGATGTTAGGTCAATTACATATAATGGAAAATCCAATAAGTAAAAAGAATTGTTGAGCAAATTCAGATGATAAAAAATGTATAAAATTTTCACCACCTGAATAGCATATTTGATTTAATCTTCTAATCGACTTTCGGCCATCACTATAAGGCCACCTGCTAAAACAATCTTTCAGCTGTCAATCTGCTAGCTTTCTTTAACAGAAAAAAATAGTAATATTGCAAAGAATGATTTGAAACTGCCAGTGTCTTTTTTTTTCTTATGTTTGGCTCATTGTTTACCAGATCACCCTATCTTTAAAAAAGTGGTTCAAAAATTATTTCTAAGAAAATAATATTTAAATCACTTTGTATCTCATTTAAAATATATTAAACTTTCCTCAGGAATATTCTGTCCTCTGACACTATCATTTGAATATCATAGTTTGTGAAGAGTTTTTTGACACATGATTTCATCTAATCTTTCTTACAGTCACCCAAGATAGGTACTATCCCTATTTTTTAAAGATAAGAATACTGAAGATTGGTCCTGAAGCCAAGTATTCCATGACCAAAGCCCACACTTTCCCCATGATATTAAGAAGGGACAGAATGTGGAGTGAATCCTTCAAGACAAATACTATTACAATTTGTTGATTGTGTTTCACAGGTTGTAAGTTGGAAGGGAAATGTTTCTAATTCCATGTGCACTCATTTTGAAGTAATTTTAAGTATAATTAAAAACCATATTCACCTACTCACTCATTCAAATCTTTATTAAGTATCCACCCATATATACAATCCTGTGCTAAATAGGAAGGGAATACAAAGATGAATTTTAAAATGGTGCCAACTCTCAAAGAGTTTACAATCAAATGACAGTGACAAGCAGTTTAATACAAATTCTAGGAAAGAAATTACAAATAAATATCTGACCCTGGTTGAGAAAAATCACCTTATTTCTTAATTTAAAGCATAAATTGCCAGCTGGGAAACACTGCTACTATATACATCTTTATTAGTTCATCTTTTTAAAGAATGCTGATTGTTTCTAGCAAAGAAAATGTCTTATCCTTAACATGTTTATGATTTGTTTGAATTTTTAAAACAAAAATTTGCTTAAAGAAGAAAAATGATAGATTCAAAAAATCAAATTAACATCATGTACAGGGACAAAGTGTGCTTGCAATAATATGTAAAAAGTTGAGGACAACTGTGCCTAGCATTAGAGTTAAATCTGAATTACTTTGGAGATCTGCCTTAGACAAGTTTTTAGGCACAATTTCATTATATATGAAAGGGATGATATTTACTTCTAATTAAGATTATAACTCACAGATACTATAATTATTTCCATCTGTAATAATACATAGGGTTAAAAAAAAAAACAGACTAGGCCAGGTGCCTGGCTCATGCCTATAAACCCAGCACTTTGGTAGGCTGAAGCACAAGGATCACCTGAGGCCAGGAACTAGATACCAGCCTGGGCAACTTAGCAAGAACCAGTCTCTACAAAAAATTAAAATATTAGCCAGGCATGGTGGTGTGCACTAGTAGTCTCAGCTACTCAGGAGGCTGAGGCAGGAGGATCAATTATGCCTAGGCATTCAAGGTTGCAGTGAACTATGATCACACCACTGCACTCCAACCTGGGTGAAAGAGTGAGACCCTATGGCTTAAAAAAATAAATTTGGACTAAAACTAGGGATAAAAATAAAAAGTGATAAAAATTAAATAATTTAACAGTAAACTCTCAGTGCAGAAATGAATGTAAATTTGCAAGTTATCTATTTTTCTCTATTTTATTACTTTTTAAAATGGCTCAGATAAGAAACTTAAATCACTTAACAAGTTTGAGGATTCATTTTGTGAAATGTATTGTAGAAAAAAAGAATGGGCAAATAATGTATTTAAAAATATTTATTGATTGATGCATTGCAGAGAATTCTTAAAAAAGAAATCACCAAAGGCCAATCCTTCTTTCTGCTTTCAATACTAAGCCATTTTTTTCCACCAAAAATAATGATGTATATTTTTATAACTAATCAGTTTGTGACAGCTGTGATTCTCAAACACTTTTTAAAAATACAAGGAAGATCACAGTTGTAAACAGACCACATGTAGTAATCACTGCAACTGAATAGGCAAAGCCTTTCTTACTCTAACTGACCAATGACCCATCAGCTTTCAGGCTACAAATGGGTTTGCGAAATCAACTGCCCTGCATAGTGTGGAGGTGTCCCCTAGATGTTCTTAACCTCACAAATGTGGCTGCTGACTCCCCGATACTATAAACAACAGCAAGGGCATAGAGAGGAGGCCTTGCTGATTCAGTTTTATTCTTCAACGGATTTCTCTTCTCCACTTTCTTCATCAGCTTCATCTTTTTCCTTGCAAGAATCCTGGCTGTTGGTATCAACAAGATAATGTTCTTCTTCATTCTCTCTTTCTTCTATTTTTTCTTCTTCATTAAAGCTAGAGGAAAAAATTTATCAGTCTTTCAAAGGGAAAATAAGTTGGTTTAAAGGTAAACAGACCCTTTGCGATGTATGCCACCGTGTAGCCAGTCTTCAAGTGCATGAGTTCCAATTGTTATCAAGAAAACTCTATAAATAAAGTGTCAACTGGGAAATGAAATATTCCTGGGAACTAATCTATTTCAAAACTTGAGTGATTGACTCTTTAAACTTTATTTGAAAGCAAGCTATTATTTTCATTATTTATGTCAGCCAGAAATCTAAGTTATTTTGCTTTAAAAACAAAATACTTCATCCCTATGTAATGTTTTGAATGTGCCAAACATGTTAAAATATCAATATGTTTTATAATAGTTCCCATGTATTCCATTAGATAAAAGACCTTTTTAAAACAACATAGAATAGTATGCTTTCCTGCAAGTAAGAATTTTTTCAAAGGTAAACCATTCAGATCTTATATATGTTACCTTTCTTTATCTTCAGTGAAACTTTTCATCTCTTGATTGCTGAGGTACTCAAATACTTTTCCTCTTTGGCCTTTCTTTGAAACAAACTCATCAGATATTCCTAGTGCTTTTAGCGTGTTAGAATAATGCTTTTCTGCTGCCATTCTTGCATTTTTCTATAGGAAAGACAAACCTTTTTAGATGAGAACAAAAGACTTTAAATTTCCATTAAAAATGCATGGGTTAAAAGCGCCAGTGAAAATTAAGTTCAACAATCACATGTGGTTGAAAATATGCATATCCTATGATCAACAATTATAATCCCTGGAATAGACCCAGAGAAACTCCTACATATGTGACCCAGGAGACATGTACAAGAGTGTTTGGGATAGTACTGTTTGTAATAACCCCAAACTGGAAACTACCCCAATATCTATCAATAGTAGGATGGATAAATAAATTGTGATCTAGTCATACAACACATAAAATAAAGCAAAGAAAATGAATGAACTATAGCTATATGCCGCAGCATGCACAGCTCTCACAAATGTAATACTGAGCAAAAGCAGCAAAGCACAAACAAGTACATATAGTATGATCTATTCATATAAAAGTCAGAAATAGGCAAAACTAAACTATATTGTTTGAGGATAGGTACCTAAGTGGTAAACAAGAAAGTATTTATCTCAAAAGCTAGAACAGTGGTTACCTCTCAGAAAGAGGTAGAAAGTTGCAATCTGAGGGGCACACTGGAGATTTCTGGGATGCTGGTAATGCTAGTCTAGCAGAATTTGCTAGCTTGGGTGGTAGCCACATGAGCCATATTGATCTATAATTATTCTTTTCACTATATCTAGGTTTTATATACTTTTAAGACTATAGAAAGGTATCTATCTAGAAAAATAAGAAAATAGGTTCATGTGAGAGCTAGTTGTCAGAGGGTTCTTTTACGTGCTTACTGTAATTTTTACTATTTGTAAACCAAATCCCCAACCCATCAAAGATGATAAACTCATCAGTGTTGCTATCTTTACTCTGTGGAAGAACCAAGGGATATAGTAAAAAGAATATGGATTTAGAACTGGGTTCCAATCTCTAGAATGTCAGTTCCTGGCTTTGGGATCTGTTGGAGTTGTGCTGACCCTGTCATACTTGGAGCAAGTCAGAAGTCATCACAGTTCTTGAGACCACAGGTTTTATGGAGCCACAAGGTGAGTGGGTTCACAATTGTGCCTCGATTTTACTTTTGTTTCTTTTTCTTTTCTTTCTTTCTTTTTTTTGGAAGGGAAGATCAACTTTACTTTTAAGTTCTGTGAATGGATCTAGACTAGTAGAGGGCCAAGAATTGCCCTTTAGATCTCCAACTAAAGCAAGGTGACTAGGAATGGCCCAGTTCCAATGCGCCAGTAGGCATCTCATATTGGAAAGGGCACAGATGAGCACCCAGTCTAATTTCCTAATTTCTAATTTAGGATACCAAGACCACCACACCCTCCGGGTTAAATGGTTTGCTTAAAGTCATAAGGCTAGTGAGTGACAGAAGCAAGTCTTTTAACCTTTTTCCTAGGTCTTTTCCACTCCATCATGCTGTTCTAAGTGGTAGTGGCCATCTTAGAGTTTGAAGGTGGCCTAAAGTCTGACTTCAGCAATGCGATTGTCAGATATTTGCCTAACCTGGGGACTCCTGCATAATGAGGGACAATGGAATCCAGTGCTCAACAGGAGAAACCAAAATAGCAAAGAATGACTACAATGGATAAAACTATCACAGTGCATTTCCTGATACTCTGGAAAACTGAAAAAGGAAGCACTCAAACTGCTGCTAAATTGCACCTACTGTGAATAACAACAATTTTTAGAAAAGTAAGTAAAAATGCATCCAGAGGCTGTGAAAACCAACAGACAAGCCTTAGAAAACAGAAAGGCAGGGCAAAGTGAGAAATGAGAAGAATGATCAAAGATTGCAGAAAAGATTAAAGAAACCCCAAACCTAACTCTGAATGCATGAAGAATAGTATATTCTGATTTAAGCAAACTAAATATAGAGATTCAAAAGATACTAATAATCAAAGTTAATACTAGTAAGTCTCCATCTGAATTTGGTTTAAAATTCAATTTAACATCTACTCAGTTAATAAACCATGTGATTTCCAAGAAAGAAGACAACATGGTTTGTTCTATAATCAATCACAGACATACTCTACTAAGGGATCACTCAATAGCAGTGAGACTACAATTAACTGCTATAAATGGGCAATGCATAATGTTGCAAGTAAATTTATTACAGTAACAGCTATTAATTAGCAGGAATAGTCACAGCAAAATAGACTGCAAGAAAAAACTGTCCCAATTGATGTTAACAAAACCAAAGCAATAGTGATTCACTGCCATAGTCACTCTGTATGTAGAATTAATAATCTTTTAATATTTTACATCAAGGTGAATAATGTATTATTGTTCCTAATTGGAGGAAATATCACCCCCTGTATTTTACCATGCAAAAGACCTATAAAGACTATGAAATAAAAGGAACAATTAAAATAACTGTATGGTTATTTTATTTTACTATCAAAGACTCTCCAAAAAAGATTAGCTTTTTTTCTTCCAGAAACTAAAATAACACAAGATGATGATGAAAGTTTGTCTATAATCAGTACCTAGTTTGAAGAGAAAAAACTTTTTTTTTATAACCAGAAGTTTAGTTTCTAGTTAATTCTTTCATTTATTTAATAATTATTGAACACTTAATTTGTAACAAGCCCTCATGAGAGGTAGGGAGTATATGGGGAAAGAAGAGTTATGGGCAAAGGGAAGAGCATATGTGAGGGCCAAAAGTAGAAGAAATATCAGTTATAAAACAAACATGTTTTCAACACTTAAAATTTCTTTATGGGTTTAATTTCATACACACCATTTATTTTGCTACATTTTCTGTGGTGCTTCGAAATGGTGGGAATTCACAGCATGACAAAACCACTTATTAATGCAGAGAGTCATCACTAATACGTCAAAGTAGTGCTCGCAGCCTGGGCTAACCCCAGAAAGAAAATGTAAGGTCATTAACTGGCTAATTTGATTATAATCATTTAGTTTTGTTTTAACGAATATTTACTAACATGTCCACTGTGCCAGACATTGTCTTAGGTGCTAGGTGCTGGAAATTCAAAGATTTGACAACAACCCTTAAAATTAATTAGCTAGAAGGGAAGAGAGATTATTCCACAGATAATTTCCAAACAATGCAGTAGGAGCAAAGACAGACTGTGTGCACAGGCTACTAAAAGAACACAGAGGAAAAGGGTACCCAACTCAACCCGGAGAAACAATGCAAGAAGTGATTGTACACTAAGGCCTGAAAGAGCAAGAGATAGGTAAAGACAGGAAGAAGATCTAAGGATGTTTAAAGAATGGCAAGAATAAAGACTTCAAGTTTGAAACTAGTTGTCTAGTAGTCTGGAAAGTCCTGAAAGTAAAGGGTATACATGGGGGGAGGAAGTGGGGTGGGAAGAGTACAGTGGTAGACAGACTAAAGAGGTTAACAGGGATCACAGAAGATTGTCTATACCATGGCAAGAATTGTATTTTCCAGGAGGAGGGAGGACAGCTTAGGGTTGAGTGTTTGGAAGCAGATCAATTTGGGATTCAATCCTTGTTCTACTATTTACTAATCGTAAACCTTATGAGTGACCTACCTTCTTTGAATTTCAGTTTGTTTACCTGTAATATAGGGAGACCTACCTTATGGTATTGTTTGGGGAAATTAATGACAAGACTCCTTGATACCATTTATTGAAAATCAGAATGAATGAAATCAATGAGAAAGGATGATTGCCCCTGTTACCAAGGGTTATTAACTGCCTACCCAGGGTTAACATTTTGGCAGGGGAATGGGAATGGCAAGGTGAAGATATAATGGATGTCTTTGCAAAGAGCAATGTGGAAAGACAATCAAAACTATTATAATAATTCAGAAAGAAAATAATAGAGGTTTCATCTGGCATTTCACCATCACGGATGGTGGAAGAGCAGATCTAAAAATTACTAAGGAAAAAAACTTGACAAGTCTCTCAATGATCAGTTGGGGAGGTCATGGGCAGGGAAAGTGGCTCCCAGTCATCTAAATTATGTCCCCAACCAAAGCAGGAAATCAAGAGATAGATCTAGTTGGGGGCAAAACGAATGCAAGATGCCTATGGGAAATCTAGGTAGAGATCACTAGAGAAGTGGACATAAAGACTTGCAGTTCAGCATTGGAGATAACATCTTCGAGCCAAACATCAATCACGTTATGCTGTATAATACAGAACAGCTTAAAATGATTTTTTTCTCTAAAGTTGAAACTGAGATGTTAAAAGAAATCCACCCTTTAAAATGAGAGGCATTATATAAAATTATATTCAAATCAATAAGTAAAAGGATTACAAACCGAGAGACTATAATGTGCATATTCACCTACAACATATGTCCATTGTCCTCAATAGTCACTGACAAGTACATTCCTGTAACCTATGCTCATCTGCCATAGGTAAGTGCTCCTCCTCGAACTGTCTACTGTCCAATTGGAACAGCATGAAATTCACAGCATAGCACCTGTAACTTCCAGTGATTTTGTCTATTGTTAAGCCATGTCACCCAAACAAACCCCTCCCTTATGAGGACAAAGAAGATGGCTTGAAATTGACAAATCTCCAGTTTTACTCAGTTGTAAAATTGAGTGTAAATTTAGTAAAATCAGAGTCCACCATCCATAAGACCAGTTTATTTTTCCTATAGAAAGTTAGTACTTTCAACAATTATAGAGAAGATTGAATTATAGACTCACTTTAAAAAAAACATAAATCTGATTCAATAGCCATTTTGTTTCATTTTTTTAATTCTTCAAAGCCTCACCTTACTATTTTACCACATTGGTACCGAAAAAAGACTAGCCATTAAAAACAGGTTGTGAAACTAATATTTTGAGAATGATTGGATAGGCAGCGTGTTCTTTATCAAGCTTCATCAACAAGATTCAATGCTCAGATTTTAAGCAAAATTACTTACTTGGCTGATTTGATGAAGCTGTCACAGACAATAATATATCTCAATAATTACATAACACATAAGAAAAATGGACTGTAAATTTAGGAGCTGAAGATATGGGGGAAGAAAGCTGATAATAGCTCTTAAATTCCAATAAACACAACCTGAGCGACTCTTTCAAATAGTAGTGGCCTGTTTTTTAATTTTTCTTCTCTTTCTTCTAGTTCTCGTTGATATTCTTTCATCCTTTCCTTTTCACTCTTTCTAAAATTAAATAAAAGGAATGAAATTGTAAAAGGTCATCTAAGAAATAAGAACTTGCACATATAACATCTAGCTTAGATGACAAATCAGAAATTACAAGCACAGTTTACAGTTAACTTCAATTCCTTTTCTAGACTGGTAAAAACTTATGCAGAATAAAAATCCTAGGTTTTGAAAACATACATTTTATGCCCTGGGAACAGTTTGAATACTTTGACTTCTGAAATCCTCAAGGCATAATGTATTTAGGGGCTTCAAACTGGCCCAAAGAGAAGAAAGAATGCCCTCTTATCTCATTTATAACTGCATAAAATAAAAATAATTTGGTCCAAACTACCTATCTTCTCTTTAAGGAATTTCTTCTGAAAATGAGACAACCTTGCACTTATTTTTTTCCCCAAAATGACATCTTTTAAACGTTAGTGGCAAAATTATTAATAATTCAACAAGAACACATCAAGAGAGAAAGGAGGAACAGGAACCAAAAGACATTAATTTACCATAAGTATACTTACTCTTTGGAAAATATCCTATAATGAATTAAATTATGCTGTTTTTCCCAAATCCGATATACAAAAACTACTGAGATAGTAAGATCTTATGGACTAGAGAAAATATACTTTAAAATGATAATTGTGCTTAATTATACACAAGTTGGTGTTATGAAAAAGCTAGTTTATACTCTAGTTTCTCTTGAAAATAAATAAATCTTTCGCCTTTTATTAAAAAAAAAAAAAAAGCTAGTTTACTTCCTAAGGGTAAATAGTACATTTCTAAGGAATGTACTATTGCATCAAATAAAACTCCCTCTATCAATGAATTAATGCTACATTATACAGGAATATTCATCGTAATGAAAAGCAAATACATATATTTTTTGGTTCTTACAAAGCAGATTAAAAATTAATAAATCATATTACTTACCTGACTTTGGGGGAGATATTTTCTTACTTAAACATAAACATTTTTATGTGTGACATCTAGAACACTGGTTTTCAAACTTTGTACTGTAGAATTCTAGTGTTCTGTGAAGGGGTTCTAGGGATTCTACAAATATTTTTATTTTTTATATTGAAACTATCACAAAAATACAACAAGTACTGCTCAGCATAAACACACGTGTTAACACATGACATAATTGATGGTAATTAACCTCAATGTGTTAATTTGTGTTCTCAGATTTCATGCATAACTTAGAACAAAGCTCTTTGACATACCTATTTATTATTGAAAAATACTCTGAGATTATATGACAAGCTGTTAAGAAAAGAGCTTTATGTGAATCAAGGTTTTTCTCTGCACTGGTCCTGTGACTAACTAAAAAAAATAATAAATAAAAAGATTTTTCCCAATACTGTAATTATTGTGCAATCCAAAGCAATATAAAGAAAAAGATTAGATGCTGATGATCAGATTACAGCTATTAACTATGGCCATAATAGAAAATGTTTCTGTTCAACACAGCTTCATGGTTCTTACTGTGGAGGTGAGTATATACATTGGTTTTCACCATGAGGTGACTGTGTGTTATATGTGTGCTGAGTATAAGTAACTGATAAAAACTTGAATCAAAAAAAAATACTAATACCATTCTCAATCTGTTCATATTTTGGTATCTACTGATTTAAAACAAAAAAGAAAGAAAGTTTGAAAACCAGTGGTCTGGAGATCCAGGATTCTTTTGTGATACCTGAGATATTTTACTCTGGATTTAGACATTTGAGCTAAACTTTGATGTGAGTCATAAGCCTTAGCCCGAGTTGTCAGGAGTTTCTGCAATTCTTTCATTCTTTGCTTCTGCTTAGTTAGGATCCGATTTCTCTCTTCTTCCAACATTTTCTTTTCCTCAAGTGATCTCCTGAGGGCAACAAACTAAGGCTTAATTCACTTTAAGCCAATGAGAACAGTGTTTAGCAAAGATTTAACAGGGGATAAATTCAAAGGTTGAAAAAAGGCAACCTTTTGAGAAGGATCTGACTTGTGAAATTAGAAATCATATCAAGGTCAACTGTAACCTTTTCTATACCCAAAGATTTATGAGACGGAAAATACATTCATTTCTTAGAACACTTCCCTATGGCAAAATTTTCTATATTATGGTAAAATATCCTATAGATTCAATAATAATTTCTTAATGTTTTGAAATTCACCAACCTAAAATCAACAGAGCTGCAAACACTAGTTTAGCAACTATGAGTCAGTCAGTACTGCATCCTAATTATTTACCTTATGGCTTGTTCTCGTCCTCTGGAAGATTCTGTGGACATTGGAGGGTTACAGCTACAAGGCGAAGGCTTTGCACTTGCACGTGACTTACGCCTTGGAGACAAATAAGGCCAACGTGTTTCTTTTAAATTTTCTTCATCTGCTTCAATGTCTGCCAAAATTTTCTCTCTTTTAGTAGATGCACAAGAAGATGCACGAAGATCAAATGGTTGACAGACTGTTAACACTTTTGGGCACTTGTCTTCTGGGAATTGTTTCTGATATCTCTCAGGAAGGTCTTCAATATCAGAAGTCCGGCACTTAACCTTATGTTTACCCTTCGATTTTACAGCCTGTTCTGGACACTTGGGGTTCCTGGGTCTGCAAGTTGACGTACAAGGCCCAGAGGATGAATTCTGTAAAAGCTCTTGGGCTCTCAGCTGTGCCCTAATGTTTTCCCAGAGCTCTTCTTCTTTTAACTTGTCACTGGTAATTGAAGCATAAATAGATTGGGGTAAGGGTCTGGCTTTAAATCGATTTGTCTTCTTTTTAGACTTAAAAAAGTCTCTTAGCTGCTTTTCCCGGGCTGCTTGCTTCTGTTCCTCCCTTGCAATAAATTTAAATGGCTTTTGTGAGGCTAAAAGAGCTGCTTTGTTTTTCTCTTTCTGAGCCCTCCTCCGCTCTTCCTTTTGCTTGACTAAATCACGATAAAGGGGAAGAAAGACAAATTCAGGAACTGGATTGGCTCGGAATTTCTTCTTACACTCTGGATCTTCCTCTTGTTTTTCGAGCAGTTTATGTGCCATTTCAACGTCTGATTTAGATTTCATGGCCTCTTTTTTCTTCTGTTCTCTAATCATCATTTGAAAAGGCTCAGGTACTGTAATTGTGGGCACCCATTTTTTTGGTTTCTTCCTTTTTTTTCCAGCTGCTTTGAAGTCAGTATTTTTACACTGAATGTAATCTTCCACAGAAAAGTCTGTCCACATGTTGTTGATGAGCTCCTTTGCAAAGGTCATTCTATCTTTCCCAGGATACTCTTTTTCTTGGTTGGACAATTCCTCTTCAGAGGAAGAAGTATACAAGGAGGAAGACTGGCCTAAATCAGGCTCAGAAAGCGATGCCTTTAAGGAGACAGGGTGACAGGAGTTCTTTTCTGATACAGATCTAAGTAAGAAGAATAATTAGATTATACTTTCAATTGTATGTGACCAAATATAAAAATTATGATAGAGTTAAATATTTTCTAAGGTCAAGGTATAATAAGTTAGAGGGAGGATCTGGATAGGACTTTTATTTATTTATTTTTTTGATATGACTTTTAGAAATTACCACTTTTATTTAGAATAAAGCTGGGAGATGCCTATAAATTATCTAGTTTGATTCTTTCAGTGTATAAGGGAGGAACATGAGATGTCAGAGGCTCCTTGTGTCTAACTTCTACTCCACTCTTTCTAGAGTCATCATCTGAAAACACATATCTGGGCTGGGCATGGTGGCTCATGCCTATAGTCCTAGTGTTCTGGGAGGCCGAGGTGGGAGAATCGCTTGAGGTCAGGAATTCTAGACCAGCCTGAGCAAAAGCGAGATCCTATCTCTACTAAAAATAGAAAAAATTAGCCAGGCATGGTGGCACATGCCTGTAGTCTCAGCTACTTGGGAGGCTGAGGCAGAAGGATCGCTTGAGCTCAGGAGTTTGAGGTTGCTGTGAGCTAGGCTGACGCCATGGCACTCTAGCCCAGGCAACAAAGGAAGACTCTGTCTCAAAAAAACAGAAAACAAAAACCAAAAAACATGTATCTAATCATGTCACTCTCCTGCTCGAAACTTTTCAATGATTCCTCATTGCTACAAAGTCAAGTCTAGATTGTAAAGCCCTTCAAGACTGGCCCCTGCCTACCTTTCCAGGCTTACCTCTGACCACTCCCTACCTTTAATCACCATTCTTTTTATTTTATTTATTTTTATTTTTTAGAGATGGGGTCTTGCTCTGTCATCTAGGCTGGAGTGCAGTGGTGCAATCAGAGCTCACTGCAGCCTCCAATGCCTGGGCTCAAGCCATCCTCCCACCTCAGCCTCTCTAGTAACTGGGACAACAGATGTGACCCATCACGCCTGACAACTTTTCTTAAGTGATAACCAACTCTGTGAAGTTCTTCACACACACTATGATTTCTCACATTGCCTTGCCTTTGTATATGGTTTCTGCTGCCTAGAAGGCCACCCTTTGCTTCCTGTATCTGCTGCACGTCTTACTCCTCCCTCAAGACTGAACTTGGATGTGACACTTTTGTGGAAAATTCTTGCCTACATCCCTCTACCAACACTTTGGCATGATAAACTGCTTCTTCTTCTGTTTCTATAACACCTTGGTACATGATGTTGTAATGCTATTTTTGCCTCTTGGCGAATCTCTGAGCTCCTTAAGAGTAACTTGTTTTTTTGTTTTGTTTTTTTCAGAGTCTCACTCTCTTGCTTGGGCTAGAGTGCCATGGCATCAGCCTAGCTCACAGCAACCTCAAACTCCTGGGCTCAAGCGATCCTCCTGCCTCAGCCTCCCGGGTAGCTGGGACTACAGGCATGTGCCACCATGCCCGGCTAATTTTTTCTATTTTTAGTTGTTTGGCTAATTTCTTTCTATTTATAGTAGAGACAGGGTCTCATTCTTGCTCAGGCTGTAGAGTATCTTGTTTTTCATGCTTTTGGGTACTGGGGACAGTGCCCAGGCATGGTCTGGCACACAGAAGACACACAATCGGCGCTGACTGACTAGGTGAATTGTCTCAAGTTTTAAAGTGAGTTCACAGCAGAAATGGGTCTCTAAATTGCACACTGTCCTGAAAACATAAATCAGATTCATGTCTCCTAGCTAAACTCTTTGTACTGGATCATTAATGAACTCATGTTAATCCACATATTATAAAGAGCTTTTAAAATTAAACTTTAATATTCATCATTTAAAATGGTCCAGACTATGTATTTTGATACATTTCTATAGTTCTATGAATGGTAGGTCAGAGAGAAAAGACCAAATGGCCACCAAATGCCTCTCAAAACAAGAGGTCACCTAGTAAACTTATAAATCATTAAACATTTTGAATAAAATTCCACCTCTGTGAAATGCACCTATGAGTACAAAGGAATATTTAAGAGAAAATATTCTGAAATAACTTTGTTCTGCACTTTCAAGTATACATGTTTATAGCCCACAAATGATATTGAGTACAAACTTACCCAGAAGAGTCACTAACAGTATCTTCCTTGACCATCGCTGGCTGAACTCCCTTTATCTTTAATTTATCCTGGTACATTTTCTCTAATTTTGCCATACTTTCTATGTGGGCAGTCTTCAGTTCTTCTAGTTTCTTGAAATATTCTTCATTAGATTGGAAAATATCAGAAAAGTTAACAAAGTCCTTATAGTTTATTGATGTATGTTCATTCACCCCAGAAAAGTTGGTGTAAAAATCAGCCTGGTGGGGGAGAAAAATCTGTTATGCAGTGTTTGGAACTGAAAAACAAATTAAGCTGACACTTATCCAAATGCTGCTTCTTAAAGAGTCCACCTAGTTAGGTTGTAAGTTACTTATGGGCTATGTATATTTTCCCCCAATGATACATATATATATATATATATTTTTTTTTTTTTTTTTTTTTGAGACAGAGTCTCACTCTGTTGCCCGGGCTAGAGTGCTGTGGTGTCAGCCTAGCTCACAGAAACCTCAAACTCCTGAGCTCAGGTGATCCTCCTGCCTCAGCCTCCCGAGTAGCTGGGACTACATGCACATGACACCATGCCCAGCTAATTTTTTCTATATATTTTTAGTTGTCCAACTAATTTTCTTTCTATTTTTAGTAGAGACAGGATCTCGCTCTTGCTCAGGCTGGTTTCAAACTCCTGACCTTGAGCAATCCTCCCACCTCGGCCTCCCAGAGTGCTAGGATTATAGGCGTGAGCCACTACACCCAGCACCCCAATGATATTTTAAGAATAAGAGAGAGCAAAAAAAACTGCCAGAAAATATATGCCATCAATCCACTTGATAAAGGATGGCTGGATTCCCAGATAAATCAACAAAAGGTTTAACCCATTATCATCATACTCTAATAGGACAGAATCAAACCACTCTTTACAAAGGGTTTGTATAAGGAGCCTCTTTTGAGTTGTAAGTTTTAACTGCGATGCAGAGGAACACAGTTCCTCCTGCAAAACAAGCAACCACTGCCCAAGCCCTCCCTTCAGCTGGGCTCCTGAGTATGGTCCAAAGATGTGCCAATGGAGAGATGGTGGGGAAAAGGGGGGCTTGGGGGTGGGACAAGGTTCTCATGGCTTATCAAGGAGCCTGAGAGAAGCCCTCCCACCATAGGGTGGGACCTCAGGAAGGACTAAGAGAGCATGGGAGATGGTGGGAAGGACTTTCAAAACAGCTGCCCCTGTGACACAAAAGCAGGGGTGACAGGGACTCTGGGAGTGACAAAGGAACAAGAAGGTAGTAGTTATTCTATATACAGGTCATGCCTGGAAGGATCTGACTGGACTTTTTCCCTCGCTCCTTTTACATACCTTTCAGTTCTTTTAACTGAAGCAACTAAAGAGATAAAACCACATTTTCTCCATGAATGTAAAAATTTTAATATGTTCTAAGTTGAGAAACAGTTGAAATTATTTATGATACTATGCATAAAAGGCTGCCAATCATGGTTTAACATTGAGCCTACTGCCTGGAACAGATTCAAAATTAAAAAGATTCAAAAAACAGATTAAAAAAAAATTGCTACAGAAAATTATAGCTCAAATCTGATAAGACTCTAGAAAATAAATCTGTTTAGCTTCTCCCAAAAGAAAAATTCAGAAGAGTCAATTATAAATAATAGTTATAAATATGGTATATATACATATTTTTTTAGACAGAGTCTCAATGTGTTGCCTGGGCTAGAGTGCCATGGTGTCAGCCTAGCTCACAGCAACCTTAAACTCCTGATCCTTCTGCCTCAGCCTCCCGAGTAGCTGGGACTACAGGCATGTGCCACCATGGCTGGCTAATTTTTCCTATATATTTTTTAGCTGTCCAAGTAATTTCTTTCTATTTTTAGTAGAGACAGGGTGTTGCTCTTGCTCTGGCTGGTTTCAAACTCCTGACCTTGAGTGATCCTACTGCCTTGGCCTCCCAGAGAGCTAGGATTACAAGCGTGAGTCACCGTGCCTAGCCTGGTATTTTTTTAAATGGGCTAAAGTCAGTGTACAAAAGTCCAATGTTATATTACTTGGGGTAACTGAGAGAAAACAAATGAAAGAAAATAAGTCTTCAATAGAACTGATATACAGAGATTTGCTATCAACAAATCTATGAATCAGAGAACTGCTTTCTATATGTCAAACAACTCAATTAAGAGAATTCTTTGATATCTGCTGGTGTTTCTATATGTGCTCCTCACTATTACTTCCTTATTTGGGGGATGAGTACTTTGTTAATTTCCTCATTCATCAAATATTTGGGAGACATCCAGCATTTAGCTTCCTGCTAAAAGATACAAATCAGATTAAAAACTTCACCTTCGAGAAGCTTCCAGCTAGTTTAGGAGAGGAAATACACATAAATAATTGACAGCTGACTTAGCATGAAAGAGAACTCCTGATTCTAGCCCATGGGCTGCTTCCAGCTGAGCAGGGAGATAGACCCGTAACCATATAGGTCACAGTATCAGACTATGAGACAAAGAGGCAGAATTCACAGAGGTGAGCCAGACTGGAGACATAAGGGTGGATGAGGACAGAGTTTGCCAGATCAGGGGAGCAGTGAAAAAAGAACAAAGAAATCTGAGGCATAGTGCTAGAACATTCATCATATGTTACTTCATGACAAATCAAAAGGCAGTCTCGATGAGGAAACTGAGGCTCAGAAGAGTTAGGTGACCTGCCTGCAGTCACACAGCTAGAATGCAGCAGAGCTGGGATTCAATCCCAAGTCTGTTAGGCTCCAAAGACATACCTTGCTCCTCCCAAGAGTAGGGAGGGATTTTAGCTACAAGAGGCAGGAATAGGCATGTGTGCTTAGGAGAGCAGTAAATAGTTCCAAATGGGAGTGGGGAACAGGGCATATGTACGCAGGGGGTTGGGAAACAAGATGAAAAAGACAAGTCAAGAGCCCCAGCCAAGAGCCTGGGTGGCCAGGCTATAAACAACAGGAGCCTTGAAGGATGTGAAGCAGAGGAGTGACATGTCAGTAATGGTCAGAAGGATTCCTCTGGTAGCAAGTAGGTAGAGTAAAGGAAGGCAAAGCTGGCTGCAGTGAGGGGGCTATAGTGTCTAGAAGAGTACCTGGCCAATGACAGATATTCAATAAACATTTGTTGAACAAATGAATGTATAGTTATAAAAAATATAAGTTTTCACCAAGGGAAGAGAATAGTTATTCCTTCACAAAGGACTGAATTATGCAAACAAACAAACAAAAAATTGGCCACTCTAAAGAGCTATATTCTACTGAGTACTAAGAAAAAGGCCCATGTTCCAAAAACTATAATTAAAACGAGAGGGTATTCCAAAGAATTGTTTTTAGGCAAAAGCATCTATGTGCTCCCATTCATTCTTTTAGAATATCTCTTAAAAGGTCTTATAGCAATCATTTACACAAGAAGGATCAAATTTATTTGGTATGGGAAGAATTGTCTGAAAAAGACATACAGGGATGAGTAGCTTCTGAAGAGATGCGGTAGGTCTGATAAATTATAGTTATGCACTGATCTTGCACTATACCTATTCCATTTGCAGCTTAATACTGATCTCACAGTGTTTTACCTAAAACTGATGAATAGCTAATAAGTAGCTTCCAATTCTAATTTCATCTTTAATTGTCTCCCTTCAGAAAACATTTACTATATCAAATAACCTAAGCCATAGACATTATTTTTCCAAGAGCCTAAAACAGTACTCTCTTCCTTCAGTTGTTCAGCTTTTTGTGGAATGATGTAAATGCAGCTACTAGATAAGAGGATAATCTTCCCTAGACTGGCTTGACCCATTTAGATGATGAATCCTTCCAGCACCTGTTGCTTCATTAGTACTCAGCACCCATGAAGAATTGTTTGCATTGTAGTTTATATAGTTTCATCTGCAATTCTGGAATTTTTATTTTAAAAAAAATGCTTTTCATTGGAAAAAATTTGTAAGGAATGAGGCAGATCTATATATACCAACATGGGTAGACCACCAATAAATGATAAAAGATAAAAGCAAGTTGCAGAATTATAGTGTACTACCATATATTTAAAAATTATATATGTAGGAGATAGAAAAAAAGCCCAGAAGAATAGAATACATATTATTTTCAAAACAGTGGCTACCAATGGGGAGAGAGTGGTTACCCAGATTTTCTTTTTTTTTAGGGGAGAGATGTTAAAAGGGCCTATACCACATATGTAACACTTGATACTTTAAAAGGAGAATGTGTTCATGTACTATTGACATAATTGAAATGTAACTTTTAAAAAAAGAAAAGAATGTTTTGTGAATATTAATACTAAATGAAGGCCAGGCTCGGTGGCTCACGCCTGTAATCCTGGCACTCTGGGAGGCCAAGGCGGGTGGATTGCTTGAGGTCAGGAGTTCGAAACCAGCCTGAGCAAGAGTGAGACCCTGTCTCTACTATAAATAGAAATTAATTGGCCAACTAATATATATAGAAAAAATTAGCCGGGCATGGTGGCGCATGCCTGTAGTCCCAGCTACTCGGGAGGCTGAGGCAGGAGGATTGCTTGAGCCCAGGAGTTTGAGGTTGCTGTGAGCTAGGCTGATGCCATGGCACTCACTCTAGCCTGGGCAACAAAGTGAGACTCTGTCTCAAAAAAACAAAAAAATACTAAATGAAACACTGAACAATGTCTAACAGACACTTGGCCTGCCTGGCTCCTCCGGGTTCCTGCTGGAAGAGGGCTCTCCACTCTCCCCAGCTCTGCTGCTACTTTTCCCTTGCTCCTGTAATAGCACCCACCTGCACCCTCCCAACTACCCACTGATAACTTTTTCATTTCTTTGGGAAAACAGAAGCCATCAGAGGGAACTATTCCTTTTGCCCCTTTTCTCTTTTCCTCCCATTTTAGGGATGAAATGTCCCCTTTCCTTCAATGTTAAAAACAATCAATGTGAGACCTCCACATTCTTGTGATATTCCTCCTACCACAGCAATTGCTCATTCATCTCTTTGTCCCCTTTTCTCCTGATATTGAACCTGACTGTTGAATGCTGAGGTTCTTAGGAGCTCTGTACTAGGCCCCCTCTCCTTTTTTTGCACTCACTCCCTAAGTGATCTCATCCATTACTGCTGTTTTAGAATGTTCCAGCCCCAACCCCAGAGGACTTGTTTCATAGGCGCAACATCTTCTTAGACATTTCCACTTGGGAGTTTCACAGGCATCTTGAATTTACCATGTTCAAACTGAAACCTTAATTCTTGCCCACCTCTCAAACGTATTCCTCCCTAATTGTCCCCAATTCAGTAGGTGGCATTACATTCCATGTAGCTGTTCTACCTGGAAACCTAGGAATGAGCATCCCTGGTTTCTTCCTCTTCCTCCTTGGCCCTCACATCCAATCCAACAGTAAGTCCTATCTATTCTAAAGAAATGTCTGCTTATTGCCATCCCCTTGAACTCTTAAATCCATTGCCTCTGAAAGTGAATTACTGCAACAGCCTCCTCACCAGTCTAACTTCTGCTTTGTTAAACCTTCCAATCATTCTCCATAAACCCAACAAGTTGATCTTTTTAAAAATGTAAATAGGAACATATCTTATCTCTTAAAAGCCTTCAAGGACCTCACACTATACAGCCAATAAAACCTGAACTCCTTACTTTGGTCTACAAGGCCCTGAATGGTCAGGCCCCGTTCACCTCCTTAATCTCATCTTCTCCCACTTTCCCTCTCTCCTTTCCAGTTCTGCTGGCTTTCCTTTAGATCCTTAATCACACAAAGCTCTTTCTCTTCCTGCCATAGGGCCTCTGCATGTGTTGTTTCTTCTACCTGGAATGCTCTTCCCATTCCCACTTTTCAAATGGCTATTCTTTCTCATCCGTCAGGCATGGACCTAAATGTTAATAACTCAGTTAAGTAGGTTCCCTACCATTCCTTTTTAAAATCATAGTAGCCTGTTCATTTCTTTCCCAACATTTTCCATCTTACAGTCATTTGACTGTTTAGTTTTTGTCTCACTTCCCTCACCAGCCTGGAAACTCTGTGAGGGTGTGACCTATGTCTGTTTCATTCACCACTGAATAGTCAATGATCAGCACTTAATAAATGAGAAGGTTGCCCCATTAGGATATCCAGTGAAAATTTTAAACTGTGAATTATAGAATATTGTTTTACCCATGTCATCATCAGCCACATAACAAGTTCTATGAAGTGGTATCTCCAACTAAGGCTAGATTCAAGGAACATGCATCAGTGCCCAGTATGGGCAGAGAATCCTGCAAGGGGTGTGTGTGTGTGTGTGTGTGCTGGAGGGCAGGGAAGCTGTGTGGGGGATGGTGCAGACATGGGGTGGGATGGGTGGGATGAGTGGTCTGGTTTTGCCACAACTAAGGACTGAAAGAGACCTATTGTGATAGTTCGTTCTCTAATCATCTTGTGTAGTGGGTACAGTATTGGAATTTACTACATTTTACAGATGGTAAAGTTGAGACAAAATAACCTTTAAAAATCAAGTTGGAAGCCCAAGCCAACCTGTGAAGACAGCAAAGTCTGGCTCCTGCATATTCTTTCCTGCCTTTTCAGTGCTTTTTCCCCAGACCTAGTGCCCTCCTGCTATGAAGCCTATGGTGGCAGCTTACTCAGGTTTCATTGGGATTCTTCAGGTGTATTGGTCTCAGAACAGTCTCAAACTCATAACACTTAGCTTCCTTGTGTTTTTTATAGGATCCTGTCCTGTTGAAATTAGCTCATTGTACAAACTGATCTCCCTAAAGATAATAACAGTTTCTAATACAAATTTGCAATTTAACAGCCACTCTGGAAATAGTAACATAACTCCAATTATAGAAATGACTGACTCCTCTACCAAAGCAAGCCAAAGTGGAATTTAATCTTTAGGGAAATAGTTCAAATGACAGTCCCACTAGCAGTTGTTATAATTATTACTAATATATATAAATTGCTCTTTAGATGAGACACATTTTCTCATTTGGTTCTCAGAACAGCCAAGTAAGATGAGAAAGAAAGAAAATTATTATAGTTCCTTTACAAGTAAGGAAACAGATATTGGGAATTTACATCCTAACATCGCCTAGCAAGTGGCAGAGAATGGATCCAAAACAGGACTCCAAATCCTTTTCCTCCATTCAAAGCTTTTTCCTGCATCACTTTGCATCTTTTGTTGCCTACTGCAAATCATGTTGTGGAGTAGCTTTATCATGAACAAAACTGGCCCTAGGACTCTGACTCTGGTTAATGTTCAGCATCTCCATCTGCCTTACTCTGGATAACATTAAGTTATTTGTATGTTGGTGAAATGTTGGCCACAAAAGGTGATGCTACAAATTTTCTCACTAATAATTTTAGTGTAGATTAAAGAAATTAGAATTCCAAAATATCCAGTGATTTCAATTAGCCCTAAACCATAATGTTTTGTGTCTGAAAAAACTTTGGACATATGGTATTAAGAAAGTTTAACTGGAGATAAGGAGGTTTATGTCTGCAGATTGCTAGTTTCAAATCAAGGTTCCCATCTTTTAAGTAAATAGAGCAGATGGCAGGCTCTGCCCTCCACCTGGTGGACAGGTGTCCACAACACATTTGACACTGAAAATTGATCAGTGAAAAGGCTGTCTCACTCCACTCTGAAGAGCTGTTTAAAAAAACATTGAAGCCGGGCGCGGTGGCTCACGCCTGTAATCCTAGCACTCTGGGAGGCTGAGGCGGGCGGATTGCTCGAGGTCAGGAGTTCGAAACCAGCCTGAGCAAGAGCGAGACCCCGTCTCTACTATAAATAGAAACAAATTAATTGGCCAACTAATATATATAGAAAATTAGCCGGGCATGGTGGCGCATGCCTGTAGTCCCAGCTACTCGGGAGGCTGAGGCAGCAGGATTGCTTGAGCCCAGGAGTTTGAGGTTGCTGTGAGCTAGGCTGACGCCACGGCACTCACTCTAGCCTGGGCAACAAGCGAGACTCTGTCTCAAAAAAAAAAAAAAAAAAAAAAAAAAAAAACATTGAAACTTTAGTAATTTGCTTCTCTGGATGTTTGTTTATATATATATATATATATCTGTCTGATCTATCCACTGAACTCTTGATGGTTTTAAACACCCACCTGTAAGGTATTGTGTTGAGATCTGCTTATAACCAAGACCTTAAGGTGATAACAAATCTGACAGCACAGCTAATTCACCTGAGTTTTTATGGGTTATCCACTGTGGTGTAGATCAGTTTTTCTCAAGTAAAAATAAATAAATAAATAAAAGGAAATATCCATTCCCAACAGATGCTGGAGAGTAGGGAGCAAAATTCTATACTTTGCACTCTCTAGAAATAGAGTAATATAAATGCTGTGCAAGAAATTTTACAAAAATCTCTTTGGTGGAAATTAAAATACTTTTCAACACCTTGAGTATTTCCCGTGTGGGCAGAGAGAAGGTGGTAGGCCAGGATCACCCAGTAGGGAATATCTGCACAGGGCACCACGTTCTCCAGCCTGCTCCCAGCCAGCACTAGGTCCCAGCCCAGGTCTCGCCCCGGCATTACCGACGTCCCCGCGGGCTGCACCCAGTTCTCATCATCATCGTCCAAGATCGCCGCTGCAGTCGCCAGGTCCTCTAAGGGGTCTTTACGTTCGTACTGAGCGACCTGCGCTTCAGTGTTGGGATTGGCCAGGGTTAGGAAACTGGAGGCCGTGCGCCTTGCTGTTGGGTGCGAAGCGGCCATTACCCCGCCTCCGAGGCCTGAGCGCCCGCGCTGGCCCGGGGCGGGTAAGCTGGCGCGGCCTCTGGCGACTTGGCGGCTCCCTGCTTGAGATGGGTGGTTACTAGGGGCGCGGTAACTAGGGATGCTACAGGGGCCGCGATGGACCAAAAGTCACACAAAATCCTCGCACGCTGCCAGAGACCCGAGTCGGGCGCTTACTAGATAGTGGGAGTCGGTGTTCAGTGTTCGCTAGTTTAGAAGGTTGGCAGGCTTAACGGGGCACCTATTCTCCTTTGCGTCTAACGGCCTAAACGCAGACTTCTTACATTATATTAATGAGACAACTCGTTTTGTGAAGAGCACATTTTTATTAACTGAAGTAACATGTTAGGCGGAGACAGAAGAAAGCAGGGGGATACAGTGTGGTAGTCTCAGAATTGTGTACGGTTTGCCTCCGGCTACCTAACATGGCTCCCCTGGGAACCCAGGACTAGGAAGGAGGGTCGTACATTCTACTTTGATTGACTTTAGAGCTAGCAGAAATCGACCAATCAGAAGGAGGCTGCTAGTTGTCCCTCTCGCGGTTTTCTTGACCTGACCAATAAAAGCCCAGAGTTGTGAGGCGCTGGCCCTCCCACTAGTGAGAGACAACGTAGGTAGTGGGAGCTCGGCGTTTGTTTTGGGTTCATCGGCGTGACAGTGCCCAAAAGTGACCACAGAAACAACCATCCTCACGTCACCCCCATCATCTCTTCTACCTGGGATTTGGGTGCTTCAAATGGCTCCTGCCTTCTGTACCACGTGGCTGTAGATAGGCGAGGCCCAGCCCTCAGGCATCCGCTACTCAGGCCCCTACTTCCTGAGGCCGAGGCAGACGCTTTTTTTTTTTTTTTTTTTTTTGAGACAGAGTCTTGCTCTGTTTCCCAGGCTAGAGTGAGTGCCATGGCGTCAGCCTAGCTCACAGCAACCTCAAACCCCTGGGCTCAAGTAATCCTGCCTCAGCCTCCCGAGTAGCTGGGACAACAGACACGTGCCACCATGCCCGGCTAATTTTATATATATATATTAGTTGGCCAATTAATTTCTTTCTATTTTTATAGTAGAGGGGGAGGGTCTAGCTCAGGCTGGTTTCGAACTCCTGACCTCGAGCAATCTGCCCACCTCGACCTCCCAGAGTGCTAGGATTACAGGCGTGAGCCACTGGGCCTGGCTTAGATGCTCCTTTTAAGCCTCTGCCGGCCCGGGCCCTACAACGCGCCATCACTGCCATAAAGTTACAGTATTTTCCTCGTATGTAGCGCGAGTCGTCTAAATTCGACTCATAGCTTAGAATAGCTTAGATTTGAGCCTATCTTACCAAACCTTCCTTCTTCGCCTGTCTGGAGTGTGAACACCTGCAAAATCCTCCACTCCCCACCTGCTTCAGGCTGCCCTTTGTTTAGACTGAGCATTTGCTTCACACGCTGAAACAGCTGCCGGCTGAGTTCTGATCAGACGCCAGAGCTGGTAGCCTATGAGGTGTGTACGGCCAAGTGACCAGGGTAAGCAACTTACAGTCAGCCACATGCAACTCTGTGGCTGCACGTGCCTCTCCTGGGATTTGGTATAAATCTGACCCCAAAACAGCAAAACAGGTCCACATGCTGAAGCACTGCAAATGGAAGATTAAAATAATAAAATGGAATGCGTGTGGAGGACATGTGTGTTTATGTAGAACAGAAGTTTCAGTTCAGTTCATGAGTTCATGCAGCCATCCAGCCTCAAAATATATACAGTAGAAATATATCTACAAGAAGGTGACATCTTACATCATAGGAAGAATTGTTTTTGCACTTTTGTATTGCAATGTATCATATATACAATGAAATATGTTAAATGTATAGATGAATTCTGACAAATGTTAACATCCATAAAATCATACCCCTATTAAGATATAAAACATTTCCATCATCTCACAAAGATCCCTTATTCTCCATTCTACCTCCTAGACTACTCTAGAACTTCATATAAATGGAAAACTACAATGTGTGCTCTTTTTGCTCTCTGCTTCTTTTGCTCAGCATACTGGGTTTATGATTTTTTGAGATTCATCCATGTTGTTTGCACATTAGTGGTCTCTTCAATTCCTGAATAGTATTCTCTGCAGAAACATACTAGTTTCCCAATATTGGAAGAATTTTCCCCAATTTCTCGGACTATTCATGATGTAATGGTTACAGACAAGGTATACTATAAATTTAATCTGTAAATCTGCACTATTAACATTATCTCCGTTTGGATTTGGGTTGTCTTTCTTTTTGCCGTCAGTTTGGGTCCTCCAGGAAGCTAACACCAAGGAGTTAAAAGTGCAAAGAGATTTATTGGGGGAAATTCTGGTGAAAGATAAGAGAGGAGAAGGAAAGACCTCAGGCCAAGATATAGTTGGACACCTTAGAAAAGGGGCAGGGGAGAATTGGGTAGAGGAGGTTCAAATTACAGTGCAGCTCTGAAAAAGTCTCAGCCAGCTCAAGAGAGCTCCAGCACAAAGATTGTTCTAGATGAGTTCTATAATGAGCAGAAATGTCCAGATACTACTGGCCCTGCCATCTCAGTCACTGGCTAGTGTTCCTGGGAAGAGCATGTTCTCAGATGGAACACTGGAGGATTTCAAAGGTGCTGTGGCTGGAGGCTGTCAGCCAGTGGTAAATGGTCAACCACTGGCTCTCTGGGGGTACAGTGTGTGTGAGACAGATTAAGCTCCTAAGATTTACAGATATAAAGGATTATAGCACATGATTTATAAATAATGGAATACACTCTTTCCTATAAATTCCTCTTACAGGATTGATTCTCCCAGAATACTTGCACTGGTTTTTGTTGCTGGATTTGTTGCCAACCTATGGTTGCAATTAAATAACAATGTAGTTCCAACATGATTGTTAGTTGATATTTATGATTAAGATGAGAATGAAACATCCAAGATATATGTCAGAATTTCATGTCAATGTTGCGAGCAACTTCTTAGCTTAAGTATTAAGATATTTTTCTAATACTAGAAGAAAAATTTTATTTTTTTCCTGCTATTCACAATGTAAAGGCTACAGACATTTTAAAGCTTACTCTGCATTAAAATTTTCCCCATTAGTTTCATAAGTTTAAATGTCCAACTTAACTAGATGCAGTATCTCACACCTATAATGCCAGCACTTTGGGAGGCCAAAGTAGGAAGATTGCTTGAGCCCAGGAGTTTGAGATAAGTCTGGACATGTTTAAGACCTGGTCTCTACAAAAAATAATTAGCTGGGCATGGTGGTGTGCACCGGTAGCCCCAGCTACTCAGGAGGCTGAGGCACAATGATCACTTGAGCCTAGGAGTTCAAGGTCTCAATGAACTTTGATCATTGCACTCCAGCCTAGGCAACAGGGACCTTGTTTCAAAAAACATTGGCAGGGGAGAGTGTCTGAGGGTGTTTCTTGAAGAGCTTAACATTTGAATTGGTGGACTGAGTAAAGCGAAGAGAATAGCGCCTCCTGCCCCCCATGTTGGCGGGCATCTTCTAATCTGTTGAGAGCCTTAAGAGAAGCAAGCAGGGGAAAGTTGGATTCATTCTCTGCTGAAGTAGGAGACACATACCCTCTGAACTCCTAATTCTCTGGCCTTCACACCTGACTAGAATCTACACCATTGGCTCTCTGGCTTTCAGGCCTTTGAACTATATCAACTTTCCTAAGTCTCCAGTTTGCAGATGGCATACTATGAGACTTCTTGGTGTGAGCTGCAACTCAATAAATCTTCCCAGAGATATTTCTCTATATCCTATTGCTTGTTTCTCTGGAGCACCTTAAGGCAGACATACTACAACACATACATCATCTCCTATAAAATATTCTTGCCAAAAGTTTATGTAACCTCTTTAGAGCTAATTTTTGATTTTTATGGGAAAGAGAGAAACATGTCACATAAGATGAAATCCAGATGAGAGACAGACAATACGCTTGGATTCTTAAAAAAAAAAGTTGAAGTTCGTGAGTGTAGATCAGAGACCGGTAAGACGCAACAACTAAATGCAATGTGTAAACATCAAATGGATCTTGGTTTAAAACATGAGAAAGACATTCTGGGGACAGTTAGAAAAATCTGAATACAGGGCTGGGCGAGGTAGCTCATGTCTGTAATCCTAGCACCCTGGGAGGTCAAGACCAGCCTGAACAGGAGCGAGACACCATCTCTCCAAAAAATAGAAAAATTAGCCAGGCATGGTGGTGTGTGCTTGTATTCCCAGCTCCTTGGGAGACTGAGGCAGGAGAATGGCTTGAGCCCAGGAGTTTGAGGCTGAAGGGAGCTATGATCATGCCACTGCACTCTAGCCTGGGTGACAGAGCAAGACTGCATCTCAAAAAACAAAATCGGGTATTAGATATTACAAAACTGTTCTTACATGAAAATGTCCTCATTTGAATACACAGTTTAAGTCTAAACTTACTTTCAAATGATTCAAAAGTGTATTAGTTAAGTTACAATGCTTGTTTTGAAAACATGAATTGGTTCCAAAGCAGCAATTAGTGAACTATTTGAGCAAAATGCTAACTTCACATTTGCTTATGTGATTTCTTTAGAATAGGTGAACAGAATGCACTCAGCTGAATTACACTAAAACACATACAACTCAAAACATGTAGATACACCCATCCATTGTTATGAGCCACACCCATCCACACATGGTGTTACCATGTCATTTTTCAGATAACCCTCCTACTATGAACCCTCCTTCATAGTAACATTAGGTGCAACCCTCTTAACATTTCCATAAGCAAGCTTTACAGTTTTTTTTCAAGGTAAGGTGCTGTGTTTCATATAGTATTTAATCATTTAATGTGTAAAACTGTTTTTATTAGGTTTTTTTGTTGCTTAAGTTTTTGTGCTGTGTTCCTAACAATGCTTCCCAACTCCTGTGGTTTCTATTGTGCAATTTTGCATACTGTGGTGGCTTCTATGTACTTATGTGACTTCCTCAGAATAAACAGGTAAACAGAATGCACTC